CCACCTCTTGGAGAGGGATTGTCCAGGTCGCTGCATTCTGAGTTGCAAGAGCAGATACTGCGCCTGGAAGCCAGATTCCCCGCCCCAAGTGGACAAGTCCGGCCAGCCCTGCCTTGGGGCTGTGCCGGCGCGGTGATGGAGTAGCAGTAACAAGCAAGCCCTTGTCAGGGGGCGCGTTAGCACCTGTTGCATCTGCCCAGGTCCCTGTCCTTTGCGGGTCACAGTCCCCCTTGCAGCCCTGTAGGTGAGGGGGAGTCCGGGGAGGTGCGAGGCGGCTGGCGCCAGGCTGAGCGGGCGCGGCCCGGCGTGCACCGGGTCGCTCGCGCCACCTGCTGGCCGGCGGCGCCTACGACACGCGCGATTCCTGTACTCGGGTTCGAACAGGCTACGTCGGGCGCTAAGCGCGGCAAAGCCCGACAAATCCCTTCGATTCAACGTTTCACCCTCCTTAATTCTTACACCACGAAAATTGCCCGCGGCCACGGCCTGGCAAGAGTGAGGCTGCAGTTTACGGCACAGCGCACTGGGGCCTTTGCTCGGCCAGCGGGTTCCCCACCCATCCCCGGCTCCCCTGGGGTCCTCTTGCGACGTGGATCAGCCTCCGCCGGGGCGTCTCCTCCTTCCGAGCTGACATTACAGCTGCCTCAAAGAGCTAGTGCGAGAATTAGGTAAAATTATGTTGGGGACCAGGTACTCCCGGGCCCTGCCTGGCAGCCCGGGGTTCTCAGTCCCAGGGCTCCGCTCGGCAGGATTGTTAATTCCCGCCCCCACTGCGCCCCCCACCCACCCGCGCTCCCAGGAAACCTTTTCATGGGCTTGTGTTACATTCGTTTTGCTCGCACGCAACAGCCCCATGCAGACTAAGTTAAAGAAAAGGGGGATTTCTTTTCCAGATGGGAGGACTCTGGGATTTCAGGCAGGGTCTGAGGTCAGGGAAAGGTCCCCCTTTGGGCAGGGGGCTGTTTTCATTTTTGCCCCCCCCCTTACTGCTTCTCTTGGGAGTTGCTGCCTTCCTCTCTGGCTACTTCCAGCCCCCCCAACCCCCCTGCTGCCTGACCCTCGGGCTGGGGCGTGACTGGCACCATCACAGCTCTGAACTTCCCAGATCCGGCCAGCAGCCTCCAGCGGGAGCCCCGAGGCCAGCGCGCTAATTCCATGGCTTGTGGCTG